ACCAATTGACCATTTGGGCATAAAGAATTGGAAATGATGATTTTAATTCATATTGTGGTCGATCTTGATTAAATCCATAATGAATACTTTCCATCTCACCATTTTGTAATTTGTCATTTTCTAATAATATAAAAAGAATAATTATTCCTTTGTCATTGAGGCAATATCGAGCTGGCTCGTTCGGAGCTTTAATTATATCAACCATTGAAATAATTGAATTAAAACAATAATAAACTGTATAGCATACTGTCAAACTCTCGTTTCAACAAACTTTGCTTCAGCGGAATTTTGTTTCAACGAATTTTATATTTAAATCGCGTTACAACGTACAATAAATTTATTGGCAGGATTTTAAAAAGATGAAAGCGAGCAATTGTTTAATTAAAAATAAAATAATCATCAACATCAACATCAACAACATCAACCACTGCTGAACAAAAACGCGAATTATGTTTATTAAAACAAACTAAACCCCGACCAAAAAATATTGAAAACATGGAATTAGTGCGGGTCAAGTTAGTGACATATTGGAAGAATCTGATATAGAGTCGGATCGGTCTTTGGACTGACCGACCTTCTCGGTCCTCAGTCCCAAATTTGAGACTGAAAAGACCAGACCTTAAAAAAAGGAAATAGTGTAACATATGCTATTTAAAAAATTTATGGATAAAATTGTTCCCACGCTAAAAAAAATTTGTTGTTACAAATCTCAGAGTTCTGATAACCAAATGGACAATTAAACCCTAATGTTTAATTTCCGACTATAAAAGTGTTTTATAAGAGAAACAAAGAATATATTTCTTTGTTGATTATTATATTTCATCACGCGTAATTAATTTTGTAATTACTATTACATATTGCGTATTAGTATATATTACCGTAAAGTCTCGATAGTACCATTGTGTAACAAATGATTTTCAATCGTTTTAAAGTAGGGATGGCATCTTTTGGTGGCGAGACTTTACAGTACATATTATATTTTTGGCAAAACAATTACCATCCAACGTATAATTAATTAATTAAATTTTATGGGTTTTACATTACCCATAATTAATTTCGTCTATAATGCTCGTAATTAATTTTACCACCCATAATTAGTTTCATAATTAATTTCGTGATTATGTATTACATTTTTGGCAAAACAATTACCATCCCATGTATATCTATATTCTTTTTAAATTTTTGTAATAAATAAAAAGATTAAAAAAAAATTCGTGAAGACCCGCATGAAAGACTGGTCTTTGAGGCCGAGACCAATCCAACACTACTTACTGGTTCAAAGGTTGAGCTGCCTGGTAATCCAGAAAATTTCCTCCTTTTAGGATATTTTCCTGGACCATGCATGATCTGTTGTGGTGTTCGATGGCTGTTGATCATCAAACATCAATATTATGTGCGGATTTTTAGTATCTTTATCATATATTCCAACATATGTGAATGTTGATAACGAAATTCAACCAAGAATACATTTTTTTGAAAACATGAATTATAAAAAGAAACTTCTTATTAATTTATCAACTACAATGTAAATTTTTATGGTAAAATTTAATAATAAATCGGATAACTTTAAACCATAATAACTTTTTTTTTTCATAATAAAATTAAAACAAAACCTTTTATAATTTTATTGCTCAATTCTTCTGTTATAAATCTATAGAGTTTTTTTCACTATTTTACTTGGTTATAAAATTTTTCTATTAGCAATCTTTTTTCAATTTCTTTAGAATATGTTACCTTAATTTTGATTTAATTGGGGCATTTCATGCTCCAATTTCCATTTAGTTTAATACATGCTGTGTGATTAACTGATAAACATTTGTTTAATTTTTTACTAACCTGTGGCTTTGCCATTCAGTAGTGAGTGATGTTAAAATTTGTTTCCATTTTTGAAAAGAATGTGAGTCCATCACACCATTGTAGATTTCTGGATTTATGTCATCTTTTGGATGGTATTGAGAGTTCCAATGATCATTTAAAGTTCTTGATTCATTTATGTTACCTGCCACATTTTGATTTTCACTGGGTCAGTAATTAGCATAATAATAATATTTTCTTTATATATAACTCTATCTATAATTATGTGTTTATGTTCCCTTTCCAATATAGAATCTATCATGAATCCTTGGCTCTGTAATCCTTCCATATTTTTTTTTTCAATAAAATAATTAATTGATCTTGTTCAAATTTTGTTTCTTGTAATTTACATGTTATTGTTATTGTATTGTATATTTTGAAAACGTTTTTTCATATTATCATACATGTATACTCTTCTTTTAGTCTTGTATCATTTTTCATTGGCTTCTTGTTTAAGTTTTAAAATATTGATTATGGAGAAATATGTGATGGTTAAATTTCTGAATAGTTCAGTTTTTTGGTTTTTTGGTTTACATTTGACCCAAAAATTACAGACATTCTAAATTCATTAACTATGCAAAATATACATAATAACTTCATAAAAAAATTATAGCTTGTTTTAGCAAATGTGTTGTGAGGTAGAGATTCCGGAAGGATCCTATTTCTAAATACATAATTATTATACTATGATAACAATAGTCCATTTCTTACCAAAATTAGAATGGAGATCATGATCCATTTAATACATAATGCCATAGCTGGCCAGTTATAAGTCTGATTGTATTGTTAGATGTACCACAAAAATTTGCATGTTTATTATAATCTTAATATTAATATTAATTGAATTATTTGCTTTGTTTGCTTTATTGCTTTATTTGTTTTGTTCATTTTGTTCATTTTGTTCAAATTATTCGATTTATTCATTTCATTCATTTTATTTATTTCATTCAAATTATTCATTTTATTTGACCAAACTTTCAATCTAATTTGAATTAGTGATGTTAGCCGGCTAATAATCTGCATGCATAATTTCTAAATTTGGTAATAGATTTCTGCGTTACTTTCTTGTTATAGAAATAATATTACCAATTTAGGTAGTAAATGGCTTAGCTGGCTAAAGATTTTTAAACAGCTAACATCACTATAAATTACATGTTTTAAAAAAGAATAGAACACTACAACAAATAATTTTTTTGAGAAAATCTCTATTACATTAAAACTAAAGACATATTTTATCAACTAATAGAGCTATTTTTTGAAAGGTAGGACAGAAAGTGACTTCTATACTTTTAAAATTTGCCCAAAATTTAGGAGGTCTTTAGACCAAGCCAACTATACAATGCAAAAAGTAGATTAAATTTACCATATAGTAAATATATCAATTTTTTTTAGTAAATAATTTTTGTTTTACAGATGATGTCCTTAACAATACTTTGTATTTCATAAAACCAATTTTCCTTGAAAAAAAAATTTTTTTTAATTTTTTCTATATGCTCTTTACATTGTCTACCAAATCGTCCCAGGGTAAATTTCATAATATAAAAAAGTCCACCAAATCGTCCCACTATATACAGCAAGACAAAAATACTATAGAAATAGTCAAATAACTGATCTATAAACATAAATATACATATATACATATATACACATTTATAAAAATGAGCCAAATTCAAGTCTATTTTAAACATAACTGACAACTTCTAGCTTCTTAATCTAATAGTTTTATTTTTTATTTTTAAATTAAAATCAAATTATAAATGCAATCTGTGTCAACATTATGAAACTATATCTGGTTTTTGGAGTGTTACTATTATAAAAAATGGAAGAGGATGAAGAGGATGGATGAAATTTATTCTAGTTTATCATGAAGCTGTATTTGTTCAAATATTTAACAAGTGTTGATAGGTGACATATATGTGTTTTTAAAGAAGTAGCAAAGAAAAATTTAAATGAATGTTTGGGGTCAGAAGAATGTGCCATTAAATATTATTTATGAGAATAATAAAACTATTTTCTTACATATTGTATATGTACATGATCAGAAGGTAGAGGAGATGTAGAAGGAAATAAAAATAATAGATGGTAGAGGAATATGCAATGCAATAAGTTGAACATTATGTTTAAATAGATTTAGGTAACAATAATAATTTATAATATTCTTCTAATAAAAATTTTACATAATTTTTCATCAAATTATACTAATTATACTTGATGATTATTACTATAGGATAAAATACATAATTCTTGCTGATTACAATTAGGGTCTTCCTTTATTATTATAATAAGAAATAACAAACTATGCTTTGCATCACAAACTATATGTCTTGTGTCATGAATTATGCTTTGAATCATGAATTATTGCTTCCGAAGACCCTAGATTTCATATGATTATTACTTGGTGTTGATTAAATGCCAAGGTTTTCTTTATTTACCATTCAACAAAAATTTATTGATTATAATTTGTTGTGCTAATTATAATAAAAAAACATTTGTTAAATTAAAAATAGCAAACATATAGTATATTTTACATTTAGGCAGTTTCTATTTGTACACTATGTGTGTAAACACGGAGTTATGTTGCACATTATTTTACATTATATTGGTTCACAATCACATTGGATCATCCCATCATTCGATCCAAACAACCTTTTTTGGCCCATTTTTGGGAAGTTGAACAAGTGCCAACCACACAATCTCTAACCATCACTTTATTTTATCATATCAAATTATCCCATCATTTTCACAAATCAACCTTGTCTTGTGTTATATATATGCACATACAAATCATATGTAAGATGCAAAATGAAATGTTATGTGTTTCAGGGTGTCCCAAACCCTCAAGCAAAACACTCACTCTAAAAAAGTTTAAAAAAAAGTTAATTTTTTTTATTGATGCAAATTTTATTATGTAACGCACATGACACATGTACATACACTACGTGTTTGCTAAGAAAATTTCTTACATTTAATTGTTCATTTTCTTTTATAGTTATTCTAGTGAGTTTAGCTATTGCAGAAGGAATGTTATTGCTAACTGTTTGGGTCATGTGAGTCTATAGTGTTGTGACACTAAAAATAGTGTCATTAATTTGAGATGATCAACAAGGGGAAATTTTTTTAAAAAATAAAAAAATAAAACAGTGGTAATGTCTTTAGACACATACAATGTTATCAGAGATTTGGCAGAATGTGCAGTGAACTTAGCATTGAGTGAAATAAATGATAACAATTGAAAGCAGAAAGTGTTGGAAATATCACCACAGGTTAGCAATATATTATTGAGATTTGCTTTTTTTTGTTCATGTGTAATGATGATACTATGGTAGATGAATGATTTTTGTTCAACAGATTATTGCTGAATGCTGGGGAATGCCAGCCCAGAAGAATGACTTCTTTAGGGACACCTCAAGTTGTCAAGGGTACTGCTACCCCCTTGCAAGGTGTAATCATTTGGTCAAGAGAAAAAATTTCTATGATTTACTGAGAGAGAGAGAAAATTGTGCACATGTATATATTTCATGTGAAACTAACCTATATTAATATATCATCCACCATAGATGCAATCTGGATATGACAGTATAGTTGGGTTGAAAGCATTGAAAGCATTGAAGACGGTATTATATTTCATAATTCAGGTTAAGACTCACATAATAAATCTATAAACTAATTAAGTTATATAGGAAAAGGAAACAGTTTTGGATAATTCACATGAGAAAATAGAACAAAATTTTAATGTGTTGAAGGTGAAGCTTGGTGTAAGTGTTTGACTATTTTTGTAGTATACAAAAGATTTTACCCATTGTATGAATTTTATATTGGTTTTATTTAGAATCCAGGAACTGCTACAGATGTATCACTCTATAACACCCTTAAGAAAAATCTGGAAAAATTTGTTGTACCTTCCAAACTCACTTGGTGGGATCCAGAGGCAAACACAGTTCTCAGCAATGAATCGGTTGTAGTGCAGAAATTGAACTATAATCAAAAACATGATTTCCTGGTAATAATAATTTTGTATGACTTGCTATGATATTTACTGTTTCCACTTACTGTATATTAATTTATCAACAGGAACCATGTGAGAACATGAAGTGTGTTATGCCAGAATCGCTTCTTTTAAAATGTGAGAACTTTGTTAGAAATTTTTCTGCTTCGAATATAACAAATGATATCATGAATTCTGTACATGATAAGACCTGGAAGGAGAAAACATCTCAATTGGAAATAAGAGTGGAACAATTGTTAGAAATAATGTAAGCACTTCAGTAAGTTAGTTTCTTTGTATATATATTTTCTGATTTTTCTTTTGTCACTTAGTGAGGAAGTATGGAATAATCTGGCCTTTGAGAACAGCACAACCTGTAGTGAGCAAAGTGAAGGAATGTACATTTGTGATGTAGTAATGCCTTTAATTTGGGCTGGCATTTTAAAAAAATATGTAAAAAAACTGACGATTAATGTCCAATTGGACCAGGGTCAAGCAACACTGGTTATATTTATACAAAGGGATTTTTGTGATTCACAAATCTGATTGAAATTTCAGATAAGTGAGTATGTGGTAATACAGACAAAATTTTCGGTATATGGTGTTATCTCATTTTTTAAAATGGTGTTACTTTTGAAGTGCACTTAGTGCATCCCAAAATTTTGATCTGGTGCCATCCCAAAGTTTTCAATATGGTGTTATCCCAAAGTTTCGATCCATGTACATTGTCGCAATATCCTAAAGTATATGGTATAGTGTTATCCCAAAGTTTTTGATACGGTGTAATCCCAAAGTTTCAATATAGTGTAATCCCAAGGTTTTTGATCCATGTTCTCTGTAGTGATATCCTAAAGTATATGGTAATGGCAATACCCGAAGTTTTTGATATAGTGTTATCCCAAAGTATACAATATCATACCAAAAAAAGTGATGCCCTGAGTAAGTAAGATTTAGGTATCAGCAAAGATGAAAAAAGATGCCAAGGCATAATTAATACAGAAAGATATATACTGTATTATAAAAAAATTGTGCCTTGGTATCACCAGGTAGGCAAGGATTCAGATATCAAAAATTTAAGGAAAAAAGTAACACATCAAGGCATAACTCGGTGTTGGCATTTGGCCAAATAAATAATGTGATTTTAAAAAAATTATAGATTAACAAAAATAAAAAAAATTAGTGGCCAAAATATTGTTACATTAAATTTTTTAAAAAATTATTCCTTCCTTTTTATTATTATTAAGCATTTCTTATGTTGTTTGCTCTTCTACATATTAAAGCATTAAAGAATGCCTCACAAATATATTAATTATGTAGACTAATTAGTGAATAGGGAAATTTGTTGTTTCAAGAGGAAGAGACAGATTTACTTCTACAATTGATAATGATGATGAGATGGATGATTTATTATTGAAACAAACACATCCTGCATTAGACAATACAGAAAAATGGCAAATAAAAAATATTTTTGTTGATAATCAAGAAATTACATTTTATAAAATTGTAGATATATGAAAATATAAAATATTATAGGCAGTTTCTATTGGCACGCTACGTGTGTAAACATGGTGTTACGTTGCACAATATTTTACATTATATTGGTTCACAATCACATTGGATCACCCCATCATTTGATCCAAACAACCTTTTTTGGTCCATTTTTGGGAAGTTGAACAAGTGCCAACCACACAATCTCTAACAATCACTTTATTTTATCATATCAGATCATCCCATCATTAAAACAAATCAACCTTGTCTTGTGTTATATATATGCACATATGAATCATATGTAAGATGCAAAATGAAATGTTATGTGTTTCAGGGTGTCCCAAACCCTCAAGCAAAACACTCACTCTAAAAAAGTTTAAAAAAAAGTTAATTTTTTTTATTGATGCAAATTTTATTATGTAACGCACATGACACATGTACATACACTACGTGTTTGCTAAGAAAATTTCTTACATTTAATTGTTCATTTTCTTTTATAGTTATTCTAGTGAGTTTAGCTATTGCAGAAGGAATGTTATTGCTAACTGTTTGGGTCATGTGAGTCTATAGTGTTGTGACACTAAAAATAGTGTCATTAATTTGAGATGATCAACAAGGGGAAATTTTTTTAAAAAATAAAAAAATAAAACAGTGGTAATGTCTTTAGACACATACAATGTTATCAGAGATTTGGCAGAATGTGCAGTGAACTTAGCATTGAGTGAAATAAATGATAACAATTGAAAGCAGAAAGTGTTGGAAATATCACCACAGGTTAGCAATATATTATTGAGATTTGCTTTTTTTTGTTCATGTGTAATGATGATACTATGGTAGATGAATGATTTTTGTTCAACAGATTATTGCTGAATGCTGGGGAATGCCAGCCCAGAAGAATGACTTCTTTAGGGACACCTCAAGTTGTCAAGGGTACTGCTACCCCCTTGCAAGGTGTAATCATTTGGTCAAGAGAAAAAATTTCTATGATTTACTGAGAGAGAGAGAAAATTGTGCACATGTATATATTTCATGTGAAACTAACCTATATTAATATATCATCCACCATAGATGCAATCTGGATATGACAGTATAGTTGGGTTGAAAGCATTGAAAGCATTGAAGACGGTATTATATTTCATAATTCAGGTTAAGACTCACATAATAAATCTATAAACTAATTAAGTTATATAGGAAAAGGAAACAGTTTTGGATAATTCACATGAGAAAATAGAACAAAATTTTAATGTGTTGAAGGTGAAGCTTGGTGTAAGTGTTTGACTATTTTTGTAGTATACAAAAGATTTTACCCATTGTATGAATTTTATATTGGTTTTATTTAGAATCCAGGAACTGCTACAGATGTATCACTCTATAACACCCTTAAGAAAAATCTGGAAAAATTTGTTGTACCTTCCAAACTCACTTGGTGGGATCCAGAGGCAAACACAGTTCTCAGCAATGAATCGGTTGTAGTGCAGAAATTGAACTATAATCAAAAACATGATTTCCTGGTAATAATAATTTTGTATGACTTGCTATGATATTTACTGTTTCCACTTACTGTATATTAATTTATCAACAGGAACCATGTGAGAACATGAAGTGTGTTATGCCAGAATCGCTTCTTTTAAAATGTGAGAACTTTGTTAGAAATTTTTCTGCTTCGAATATAACAAATGATATCATGAATTCTGTACATGATAAGACCTGGAAGGAGAAAACATCTCAATTGGAAATAAGAGTGGAACAATTGTTAGAAATAATGTAAGCACTTCAGTAAGTTAGTTTCTTTGTATATATATTTTCTGATTTTTCTTTTGTCACTTAGTGAGGAAGTATGGAATAATCTGGCCTTTGAGAACAGCACAACCTGTAGTGAGCAAAGTGAAGGAATGTACATTTGTGATGTAGTAATGCCTTTAATTTGGGCTAGTTTGGGTAATATGCCTGGCAGGTGTATTTGCTTAAGCTTGTAAGTGGATTTTTGGGATATCCTCTCGCTATTGTTATCTTTATTATTTAGAATTGATTTTATTACAGTGCAGAACACCAAAGCTTGACTAGTAAAGCCTGAAGAAATTACACAATAACAGGTAGAAAACATGTGGGGAAGAAGCCTGATATCATGGCTTTGATGAAGTATCAAGGAAAAATTAATGAGCTAATGTACATGGAATGTTCACATGTTGTATGTGATAATAGAAAAAAAGATGATGATGGAGTTAAACTATGGTGAGAAGCATTAGATGGCACATCAGGAAAATGCTTTTGAAATTATACATAGATCCTACAAGTAAACAGCATATAAACACCATATCATGATTTGTATATGATTGACATATGTGGCTTTTCAACATGATTTGCACATTATATGGATAATTCTTATGTATTATAAGTATAATAAATTACACTAGTATTTGTGAACTAATCCAGTATTATACATATAGTTCTCATATATATATTCTTCCATGTCATGTTGACATTAGTATATGTTAAAAAAACAAATTTGTTAGTAATAAATAAAATAAATAAATAATTAATTATAAATTGTAATAAATTTCTTACCAATGTTGACATTAATATATTCATTAAAGATATATGTTAAAAAAATAAATGATTGGTAGATAAATAAATATAAATCATTAGTAGATGAATGAAATGGAACAAAATAATTTATGTTAGTAGTAGATAAGTAAATAAGGAAAAATAAATATAAATCATTAGTAAGTAAATGAAATGATTTGTGTTAATAAATAAATAAATAGTTATAATTGGAGAAGATAAATTCAAATTTCTTAAAATATATGTATATGTTAAAAGATTAATATATAAATAAAAGAAAATATGAATATAAATCATTAGTAGATGAATGACATGGGATGAAATAGTTTCTTAGTAATAAATAAATAAATAAACAAATAATTAGTTAATTATAAATTGTAATAAATTTCTTACCAACATTAGCATTAATATATTCATTAAGATATATCAGATATGTTAAAAAAATAAATAGGTTTGTGTTAATAATAAATAAATAAATAATTATAATTGGAGAAAATAAATTCAAATTATAATAAATTTCTTACCAATGTTGACATTAACATAGTATTCATGAATAAAGATATGTGTTAGGAGTAAAATGATGATTACTGTATAAATATCAATCATCATTTCAACTCTATTAATAAAAATAAATATATTAAATTCATTTTACTGTGTAATTTTCCATTAAAGATTTGATAATCCTTTCATCCAAACATAGGTAATCCAAAAAAAGTATTTATTATAGCTCATACACATGTAAATGCTTTATTGGATCATTTAAACAAGTCTTTGTCTTTCCGAAAAGCTTCTTATGTAATATTTTCTAAGTAAGTTCTATCATTTTCCGGCTCATTTTTTTCTAAAACTAACAATGTAATCTTTGTTGCTTCACTATAAAAAAGTTAAATTAATTAAATAATTCATTAATACTGGTGAACAATGATGATAAAAACAATGGTAATGATAAATGCTGTTATATTATTATTCCAATGTAAATTGCCCTCCACATTCTTAACGTATATATACATATTTTTTTTAAAGAATGTTATTATTTTGTGTTACAAAATATATCAATATTTAATCATGCCAATAGGGATAAATTTTTGGTGATCTGTGTTATAGTAAAATTCAAATTCCGTTAATAAATATTAATATCTTTTTAATTCAACTAGAATAGTGAGTTTTGGATTAACTATTACCACTATTATAAAAACAGTCTTATGGATGGGATGTGTTTATGCCTAAGAAAGCTAAAGGTAATAATAATTTAATGGGTTAAATGGACTCCTACATTGATAAATGAGTATACAAATCAGTAAATAATTAATTTTTTTTTGTTATATGAGTCAAAT